AAAAAAATAATAATATGGATAAGACTTAAAAGTTGTTTTCATGTTTATGTTGACCAAAATATTATCAACATCAATCATGAAAAATCAAATTATAGTTTATTATAATGGATATAATAAAATTATTGCATATGTTAATAAAATTATTCAAGGAAAGAATCTTTTTGGTCATATTTGATTTGGAAATGTGTATATTAAAGCAATTAATGCATATATTTAAAAAATTTCCAAATAAAATATGCATTAAATGCTCATTGACTTTTTTGCTGCTATTTTTGATAAATGTTAATTCTTTTTATATATATATAGATTTTCGATTTTTTAAAACTGATTGTTATCATGCTATGAAATTGATTAATTGAACATTCCAATATACCTTAACAAAATATACACGTGTTGTATACATCAGTTAATATAAATATAGAATCCTCATATTTTTATATATATGTATGTAATCTTTCTATTACCAAATTTAATTGATAGTTGTTGTGTTATGGGTTTTTCATAATTGTTACTTGGTTTTTGTGATATTTAGTTTGGTTGGTGTCGCAAAAATTCTAATCTATATATATAATAAGAATAATCAATATAATGCAAATTAGAAAAATATTGATATTAGAAGAGATTGAGTTCATGGCTTTTCTTAAATCAAAGTTGTTTAATTAGTATACAAAATAAAATTATAAAAAATTATATGTGTATATATTTTGTACATTATTTATACACTATTTAATTTTAAATTTATTTACATATTTTAAATTGATTACTTATATAAATAATACCAACGTGCATTAAATATATTTCATTACATAAAATAAAAAGAACAAGAAGACGTGCAACTTCTATAACTTTATAAATAATAATGGCATTATATGGCAACAGAGTTTATAGTAAAATAATAAAAAACTATTATATAGTGAACAAAAATAAGTAAAATTGTTATTTTCGCTTATATCAAGGAATAAATATATATAATAAAATTAAATTTATATTAGTATAAATTTGTTAGTGAGATAATATATTAATTATTTTACAAGTTAGCCCAACATGCTCACGTTTAATGTTTTGACTAATAAAACAACGCTGATTAAAAGATGTGAAAAATATATTACAACCCTATTTTTTAGACTTAACGGTGATTGAAAGAGGTGGAAAGTGGATGATAACTTTTTTTAGACTTAAACGGGACTTAACGGTGATTTAAAGAGGTGTAAAATGGATGATAAGTTGATAACCCTTCTCAGACTTAAACAGACAGTGTCTGTGAAAATAATTCATTTAATATCTCTCCCGTGCATCGCACGTGGTACGTACTAGTTCTATCCTAAAAAAAATTAAATAATTATCTAGTGAATCACAAGTCCTAGCCTCACTTGTGAGTCCTTCTCTAATCGTCCAAGAGCATGCTTGGTTAGCAGAGAGTCATCACAAGTTCTAGATAAGGCATGCTCTGATACCATATTAGATTTATACATCATAAGAGATGAGTTTAGGTGCATCATAGTGGGGTTCTATTTCAAAATCAATTATTGGTGATGGGATGAGTAACTCACTTGGCTTATAAGTAGACTCATTTATCCTATAGGAACAATGTGGGACAATTTACAAGTGATATTCCAAAAAAAAAAGGTTGTTTCCTTATCCAAAAAATTGGATAAAAAAATAAAATAAGAAAATACAAAACCATAAAAAATAAAGAATCTGGTTGTGGTGTCAAATAAGGTTTCATTAATCTTGTAACCACGATTATGTACATACTATAGCTTTTCTGTTAGGGTGTCTAACAATTATATTGCCTTACTTTTTCAATATATACATGTAATTTTCATATTCAAATGTTGAGAAAATTACAAATTTGGTCTCCTTCGTTTCAACGTTTTCCACATTTGGTCTCAAAGACTCCATTTATGATCCTTTTTATTTTTTCGTTGCAAAAATGGTCATATGTCCGTCAAAACTGACGGGGCTCACGTGAAGACGTTAGATTGGACAATTTTTTTAATTTTTGGGATCAATTTTGTAGCTTTTCAAAAAAAAAAAAAAAATGAGTTCTTCATGTTCGTCTAGAAAAGAAGTCAAATTATTTTGATGTTTAATTCAAAAGTGAAAAACTGACTTTGATGCTTAAATAGTTTGACTTACTTTTAGAACAATTTTTTGAATGAAATGTAAAATTAACAGGGCTCAAGTGCAAGACGTTAGCAATTTTTGGGACTAAACATATGAGGCAAATTTTGTAATTTCATATTTTTTAACTTGAAAATCGAATTAGTCTCTCTCATTCACTCAAAGCCAAAATGACATAATAAAATTAATTTACCATGAATATGATGCGAGAAATAATTATTAAAAATAATTTTATAACAATAAATATCGGGTTAATATTAAATTAATTTTATAAATTAAATATTAAAGAACATGAACTTGATTTACTCATTTTTTGTGATAAGTCATACAATTGAAATCACAAAAGGAAAGAAGCAAGGTCAATGTAATCTTTAGAAGTTCAGTCATAGAAGTTCGAGAGGGCAAGAAGGAATAAGCAAGCCTACTCTCCAACCATTACCCCCACACCCTGTGAGTACTGAGTTAGATAAAGAAAGGTAAGGCGAAGGGTACGAATGTTAGGATCCGTAGAAATGTATTGAATCGATTTGGGGATCCGCTCTTATTACCTAGATAGGAGCGATATCGTGCAAGTGAACACAAAGATATTGATTCACTAGAGCTCCTTAGCGATCTCACCTTATCCTTTACTTACTGAAGTAGCATCGAGAAATTCTCTTCCCCCCGGGCGCTAACTCTTACTTCAATTAATTCATATTTTTATATAAAAAATAAAAATTATGTGAAATCTTTATTAAGGGCGTTGATAAATTTCAATTTGGGGTGGGAAAGTAAACGATATAATTGCTAATTGAGTAGTATTTATTTTATTTTTTATTTTTTTTACCGTCATTACATCGAAAATATTGGAAATTATTTAAGTATTTTTTAAATTAGAGAATAATTAGAAATAATATTATTTTAATTAAATAAAGCAAACCAAAAGACATAATCCAATTTCTCAAAATAATAAAAAATGTGAGTATGTTTACAATAATACCAATCTGCCTAAACTTTTAAATATTAATATAATGTGATAATTTATATATCCTTCCAAACTTTATAAAATAATCTAAACTTTTTTTTATTATTGTCTATTTTCTTAGAAATAATATTTTAATAAAATTTGATTTTGACAACCATAAATTGAAAATATATTTATTTATGCAAATTACATCTACATAAAAAAATGTCAATTTTAAGCAAAATAAGTTAATAACACAAAATTTGGCAATAAAATTAAGTGAAAATAGACATTTACTGCCACTTATTTATAGTAAAATATATCATATATCTTTTTTGCATCTCACTTATCATGAACTAATAATAAAATTATTTTATACACATTTTGTTAAGTTACTCAATTAAATAATCATTTTATGTAAAAAAATTAAGTTAAAATGTAATTTACATAAAAAAATGTGAAAGAATTGAATATTAGTTATATTTATTTTTTATAATTTATTAAAAAATAAACTAAATGTATTGTTAGGAAAGAATGGTAATATACCTTTTTATCATTTACTAAAAATATTTTGAAAAAATGTTCCTAATAAAAATAAATTTAAATAATTTTTATCACTTACTCTGTTAAGTTGCGAAAAAATAAAACTTTTGAAAAAATTTCATATTAGTTATATTTATCTTTTATAATTTATTAAAAAACAAACTAAATGAATTGTTCAGAAAGAATGGTAATATACCTTTTTAACATTTACTTAAAACTTTTTAATAAAATGTTGCTAATTATAAAAATAATTTAAATATATTTTCTCACTTACTCTTTAAGCATATTTGCATTTTTAAACAAATTTATTGATACGTATGTTCATCAAAATAGGAAAAATCAAATGTTCCAAAAAATGGACAATATTTTGGCATACGATTTTGAAAATTAAAGTGCACAATAAGATAAAAATAATAATTTTAATTTTCACTCAAAAAAATATTTTACCGTAAGTGAAACTATTTAAACAAAAAGTCTATTTACCACTTTTGAATTAAACATCAAAATAATATGACATCTCTTCTAGACAAACTTAAAGAACTCGTCTAGAACTCGTTTTTTTTTTTTTTTTTTTTTAGAAAATTGTAAATTTGGTCCCACTTGTTTGAAGAATGCAAATTTAGTCCTAAAATTTTATTCCTTCCTTTCTAGCTGTGAACGTTGACTAACAATGCATGAGCGAGATTGTTAGTTTTGACGGATGTGGAACTATTTTTGCAACGAAAAAATAAAAAAGAATCATAAATGACATTCTTGGGTCCAAAGATGGGAAATGTTGAAACGAATGGGACCAAATTTGTAATTTTTTCTTTAATTGTAATACTTTTAATCACAATGCAAACAAAAATATAAATCCTAAAATAAGTGTGCATTTTTCATATTTGAATTTTAACCGTCTAACTAGATATCATTTAAAATACAATATAAATAAAAATATGATATTTTATAAAATAAGTATATATTTTCATAAGAAAGTATGTCGGTCGTCTAATGATTCCACAACATTTAGGATTTATGTATTTTATATAGAGGGAAAAAAATCCATAAAGTTTTATAAATTGTACATCATAAAATGGTTGTTATTAAAAAGTGACCCCAGAATATAGTCAACCTTGACCACCTAAATCCACTTGCCACATTACAAAATTTCACACTAAATTGTTTGTAGAATCGAATGTCCGATTCACAGCATATAAAACTCGTGAATTGCTTCATAGCACCTATATAAACCAGGCCATCCCCACATTCTTTCATGCAACAATTCTTAAGTGGCACTATAACACATGAATTAACCTAACAATGTTCATATAAACCGAAAAAAAAAAATTAAAAAAAAACTACAAATTTTTCTTAGAACAAACATATTTAATTAGAGGATTTTGAGAAAAATATGAGTGATAACTCAAAGAAAGCGAATCCTAACGAGGGCTCGCACCATTTTGTTCCCAAATCCGTTAACGAGATTATGCGAAAAGTTTTGAACATTTCCGATTTTTCTGAAAAATTGTCTAAGTTGGATCTTCACATCCGCTCATATGAAAATGAATTGAGAAAGGTTGAACATTTACAACGTGAGCTTCCATTGTGCATGGAACTTTTGCAAGATGGTATCTCTCACTCTTTTGGCCTTTTTTTCTCTATGAGATTCTTTCATAAATGACAATTTCCTTTTATTTTATTAATAATTATTTTTTTTTTTCGAAGTAATTGCGATACTGATTGAGGAGAAATTTCGGTGTGAGGAAGAAAAGAGTAATTCAATGAAGGACTTAATGGAAAATACGAAAAATTGGATAAGTATGACTCAACTCTGGACTACTCCGGTCGAGTACGAAGCCGACATCGAACCCATGATTACGAAATCGGTAATATATATTTTTTTATTAATTTTAAATTTTTCATCATTTTTTCATTGTCAAATCTTCTTTTCTTTTTCTTTTTAATTAGAGTCGTCAAAAGGAGGTAAGCACGAGTAGTGAATTCAATTGCGGTAAAGGGGCATTTACGTCATTTAAGAAACCATCACAATTGCATATACATGAGGAAGGGCAAATGGAGAAGAAGCCTAGACGCGTTTGGGAATCGGAGCTGCACGACTCCTTTGTCGACGCACTCAAACGTCTCGGTGGCCCTTATGGTATATAAATATAATTCCTCTTTCCATTGTCGATCAAAATGTCGTCATTAATCTTTTTCTTTGTTGTTAAAAAAAAAATTGGACGATGTTACGATTTGGGTAGGAAAATTAAGGAGATCGTGATCGACATTTGATGATTCATAAAATTATGTAATATTGCGTGTTTTGGATGGTTTCAGAAATCGAGTTTCTTTGAAAATGGTAGATCTCGACCATCTAGTGTGGGTCCACCTAATGGACTGCACTAGATTGTAATATCGTGAAAAAGCTATATATTCAACTTATTTATAAAATTATAACATTTTATAGTAAAAATATATAGAGAGTTTTATTTAAATATTTGAATTGACCCAACCTACTTTTTAATTAAGTTTGACATGTAAGACCGAGTGAAAAGATTTTTTCAAAAAAAATTGAGAAAAAAAAATTATTTCCGTTGCAATTTATTTTTGTTCGACCTTCAATCATATACATACTCTTAAAAAATCACCATACTTAATTGTGAATATTTATATAATTTTTAGACCCACATTTTTTCTTTAATTTTGTATACCAACAATTTTTATATTTATTTTTCATATGAATTAGTCACTCTAAATAATTTTATTATTTTTATATCTCATGTCTTCTCATTAACATGACCTCAACTTGAGTATGTTGATGTTTTTTCAGCTGCCACCCCTAAGAAAATTCGTAAGCTGATGCAAATTGAAGGCTTAACCAACGACCAAGTGAAAAGCCATTTGCAGGTNGGCCCAATCCTAATGGGCTTAAAAAATGAGCCCATTAGTTTTGAAGGCCAGACCTCGAAAGGAAAGCAAGTTGAAAAAAATGCTTAGAAAATGGTTGCTAGGAAATGAGCTAGAGAGTATCAACATTTTCTTTTTTTCTTTTTTTTTTTATTTATTTTTTGTTTTTATTTATTCAGTGTTCTTAACTCGCGGAGGGTTCAAGAACAGATTTTGTTGTGTTTGCATTGTACGCTGAGTTCGACATCCGCTTCTTGAGTTTGCTGTGTGTTCTTGTTTTAGTGTGTGGTTTGTAGAGTTTGGGTACTCGTTCTCCTTTCAAAGGTTTTTCTCCCCACAAGGGTGAGTTTTTTTTACTCTGAAAGGGTTTAACAGCCTCGTCGGCTTGTGATCAACAATTATTTCTTTTTAAATTGAAATTGTTTTAATTAATAAAAACCAATACTTTTGTTGCAGTATGCATTCAAGATCGGTTCTCATTATTGAACTGTTTTATTATTGTTTTCTTGTTTTAAGTGAGAAACAAACATGAAGAACAAACATGAAAAACACGAAAATTAAGTGAAAATTAAGATCCTTAAGGATAAAAAAGCATATATTTCCAAAACAAACATGAAGAACACGAAAAACATTCATAAAACATTCAATTCAAAACCCAAAAAAAGCAAAAAATTACAAGAATCCAAAGGAAATATGAACTTATTCATGGTGAATCGCCAACAAAATTTGGAGATTATTAGATAACGCGGAGAAAGTACGCCGGAATCCTTGAGAGCGCCGAGAATGCATAGAAATGATGGAAATCCTTAGAACTTAGAAAATACAGAAGAGAAAAAAGTGATTGAACTAAGGTTGGGGGGTATTTATAGTCTGAAATATGGACCCTTGGATCAGGAAGAGTCCAACGGTCTAGACGAGCACGGGAATCAAAGAGGAGGAACACAAAACGGCGAAAACATCCTTTCAAATCAGCATTAATGAGTGTCAGAGTATGTCGGGAGAGTTTAACCGCCAATTTTTCTCCTAAGGTTCAGATCGCTTGGAATAAATTTTGGAAGGGGAGGGGGGGACTAGATGATATAGCCATACTGGCGTAAACCAGATTAAGTGTTGGGAGCTCGACCGAATTATAAGAAGACCTAAGTAGGTCGACTTGAGATAAATTCTAAGAGCATGATGACTGCCATAGTAGACGACTAGAGAAGTCTGCAACAGCTCGAAGACGACAGCACGCGGCCGAGAGCCTCGACGACCTGAAGGGTAACAACTTAGAAAGTGACGACCTAACCGTAAACATCTTAATTCTGGCAAGAGGACATCAGATGACTCGACCCTCAATATATTATTTAAGTCGACCTCTATCATCCAAATACGACTTGACGGGCCTCTCAACTCGAGGTAGAGGCTCAGTGAAGATAACGGCCCAAGATTAAATGGGCCTTAGGGATAAAGATGAATCTCAAAATGATAAAAAAGAATCTTAGGATGACTAAGATCTAACTAAGAGGTGATTAGAATATGGATAAGCACGAGAATCCGGACAGCCGGGCAAGCCACTCACGGGCACTTGGGCAGAGCATTTCGAGCATATAGTTTTCCCTATAAAAGTGCTCAAGGTATCACCTAACCCTAACTTTTACATTCCAGCTATTAGATTGCTCTTATTTATTAAGCATCATCATCTTCCTACTGACTTAGACATCAGAAGCTCTACGCCAGAAATCTCTCTGGGGTTGAGTTCTTGCAGGTACGTACTTGGTAGTTCAGGTATATCGGAGCTCATTTCAACCGGTTTGATTTAGATCTGAGAGAGGACCATCAATATTATTTTGAAGTTTAAAAAATTATTAATTTTTTAATATCATTTCATATTCTATAAGTGGTTTTATAAAACATACTTTTGTTTCCAATCTTTCTCTTTTCATCGGTCTTTCTACTAAAAAACTTGTTAACTTAAATTATAAATATATTTAAAAAGTTAATAATTTTTAATGTATTATTTTTTTTATATATAATAAATCAAATTAATCATCTGTTGAAGAGTTTTGATTTGACATCTATATTGTACATACAAAATAAATAAATAATTATATTTACATTTATAATAAAAAATAAATTATCTATTAATATTATTTCAAAAAATAAAATTATTTAAATAATTTAATTAAAATGCAGTTCATGATATAAGTTAAAAATATTTATTATAATATAATATGAGTAAGTTGTATAAGTGACATTCGTCATCTTAAATATAAGTAATAATATAATTTTCAAAATAATTATGTTTATTATTTTAAAATTTTAAGTATAAATTTTTTAACAATCATCCATATAATACACGAGTATTTATACTAGTATGATATAAGTTATAATAATTTCTCATAATATGGGTAAGTTGCCGATATCATCTTAAATATAAAAAAATATATATTTTTGCAACAAAATACTTATGATAAAAAATACTTTTATTTTGTAAAAATTATGTATATTGTATACATTTATTGACTAGTTATGCTAGTTGTATTTAATTAACAAAAATTGTGATTTATTATTTAGTCAAATATAAACCCAGCGTATACTGGCACGTAGGATTTCAACTGTACAGCCTGGACCACCCTTCTCTACATTCATGATCTTTAATTATTTGG